ATCAAGGAAAAAGTCAGTCCTGGGTAAGTGAGATACTCCCCCTACATACATACACAGTAATCCGGCAACTTCCAACAGTGGGCAAGGCATTTCCACTAGCTCTTCTTAAGGACCATGGACAGGACCTTGTGTTAAAAGATAGTCAGTGACTGGTCTACTTTCCTGGTGATCATTTGATGTCATTTTTTCTTGGTTTTCTTTGTATTTCATAGCATGATGGTAAGTTACTAAAAAGTAGAAGTGATTTTTAAACTATGAAAAGTTTTATAAAGCCTAGTATTCTCATATACAGTCCTTTCAATTCTCTCCAGTCTTCTGAGATAATAAGAACACTTTATGTCATGGACGAGGAGAGAGAGGAGCTCTTCCTCATGAAATACACAAGCAATGACGCATTCTGAGCCGGCTTGCTTTGGGCAGGATCTCTGAACACAAGGTCTGAAATCCTGGTGTAAATTAAGGGAAATAAAACTGTAACTACCACATGAGAATTCCCAAGTGCCTTCCAAAGAGACCAAAACAGTACATCAGGGAAGGCCCTTAATTACAGTGTGGTGGTGTAGGGAGACTGAGGAGCAGGGCTGCAAAATGTGAGGCATCCCTTGGTGTGTTCTTGACGTTCTCTTGTGTGTAGCATAGCTCGCATTGTAGTATCACCCCTTCCCACCTACATAGAGTCTGAAAGTGGAGAGCACTGAGCAATGGTGGTGGTTAAACTCTCAACATTTAAACTCTACCTATCTGTGGAGTCACCATTCTCAGCTACAAACTTGACCCTCCTTTGCAATGCTGACTTTATTCCTCTCCCTTCTTGCTGTTTGGACTCACCTTGAAAACATTTTTCTGCCATGGATTGAGCGGACACCGAGTAGTAGGTTCCAGACGTGGAGACTGGTGTTAGGACATTTGTGGGCTGAACCTCCTCCAGCACCATCACTATCTCTGGTTGAGGGGCACAGGCCCTACTTTCCATGTACGACAAAGAGCCATGGGACTGCAGGCAGGAGCCAAGCTCTCCTGACTGTAGACGCCCCAATGTGCCTTGATTATAGTAATACATCTGGCTTCCCTCCTGGTAGGGAAGTGACAGGCTATGTCCCTGATTTGGAATCTGAGATGGTGTCCCCTGAACAAGGCTGACAGAAAGTGATGGATACAGAGGGACCAGATTATTGGCAACTGAAGTTTTATCAAACTGGGCTGAAATAGACGTGGAAGAAAGAACTGTGTCTTGGTCAATGACAATCACAGTGTAGTCTTCAAGTGNGGATCTCTGAACACAAGGTCTGAAATCCTGGTGTAAATTAAGGGAAATTAAACTGCCACTACCACATAAGAATTCTGAAGTGCCTTCTAAAGAGACTGAAGCAGTAGATCAGGGAAGGCCCTTAATTACAGTGTGGTGTTGTAGGGAGACTGAGGAGCAGGGCAGTAAAAAGTGAGGCATCCCTTGGTGTGTTCTTGACGTTCTCTTGAGTGTAGCATAGCTCGCATTGTAGTATCCCACCTACACAGAGT